ATATGAAATTCTTATTATTTCATCCAAGCATTATTTCTAAAATCTTCCTAATTAATTCTCTCTTAGATACTATACATTCACTAGAATCGTAAAAATCGATACATGTTTTTTTTAAATAAAAAACAGATATTCTTATAAGTTGAGGTATAATAGATACCTAAAACTAATATGTAGGTGCTTGTCATAAAATATATATGCATTGAACTAACTCATATGAGAACTTCATATGGAGAGATCACCTATATCTATAGAAATACTCATATGATAGTTATGTAAATAATTTTTAGACTTAAAATTACTAAGTTATCTTATATAAAAAATGTTATACTTTGATCCTGTTATATATTATCTTAATCGAGATAATAAAATGAAAAACATTGAGTATAACATCACCATATACAGGTATTTAAGTGATCAATAGAGGATTCATTATCCTAATGCTTGACCGCTTTTTATGATCGACTTGTTTTAACTCGCAAGTGCACGAGTGTGCGATGTAGTAATTAACTCGGTAAGATCGAGGTCATATCCATAAAGAGCTAGATCTGGAAATTAAGTTAGGTAACAAAAAAAACTCAAGAGAAATTAAATTAACAATAACTTGGTTGAAAATAATTGATGGATTTGTTTTCAAAGATAAAAAAAAATGTAAATAGATTTTAAATGACAAGAAAAGTAAGTCTTGGTCCAAATCAATTTTAATGGTGATGTATTGGTGACTTTTTCAACATATATAAGATAACTCAACCTAATATCAACGATGGTGATATTAGATCATAAGATATTACAATGAAGTTTAGAAAGATGAAGATTGATTATTGCTTAAGAATGAACAAGTACTTTCATATTAAGTAAGACATTGAATCAAGCAATCTCTATACCAAAACTAAAGTTTGTGCATAAAAATTTAAAATTATAACATTACCTAAATGATTTCTAAAATTTCTTTACAATAATAAATCATTCATGAAGAAAATAAGAAGATAAACATTAAGATTCATTCATATCCTAAAGAACTCACCTCAATCACCATTATCCTTGATTTGGATCCAAGAAAGAGTTTAGCCAACCATGATTATATATAAGAACACTTCAATAAACATGAAATAACTTGAATCAAACTGAAATAATAAGTTTTACAAACTAAAGAACCGAAATCTATAAAGAAGAACACAACACAATTTTAGAAAAAATTCGAACACAAATCTGACTCTAACTTTGGACAGCAATTTGACCCTCTTAGAAGCTTTTTTTCGAGATGTCTATTAGAGACATATTTATAGGAAATTCTGTCACCTTTCCAGGTCATTAACGAACAACTCATTTGGACACCTGAGTCAATAGTTATGGGCAAACCACCGAAAGGTGTTCTGAAAAGTCAAATCAGGACAGCTTTGCAACCACTTTGGTGCATGTTTTTCTTCCTCATTTATGAGCTATCTCTTTCTTATTTTTGACCCAAAATAATGTAAAAATGTCCCCTCCAGCTTTCCATCCATGTGCTTGCCTTCTTGGATCAATGGATTACCCAAAATAAATCAATTGTTGTTGTGTGGACATGTAAGATCATGGATTGTGTTTGGGCTGATTTGAAGGTTGATTTGTGGCTGAATTTAAGCATCAAATAAGTATACAAATATACCTATTATTTGGGCTAAGATTGACATTGAAACCTTGAGTGTTTAATGGTTGAAGTTTGCACACAACATAAGGCAAGTTTGGGCTTGAAATAAATCATATGATATTCTTTTCTAGAATTGGAATAGAATTGATTTTTGGGACAAATTTGGAGCACTTATTTGAACCAAGATTTGTTTCAATCTTCAACTAAATGTTTCTTCAATTTTTTATTCTGAATTCCGACGTTGAATTTCCTGAATTAATTCATTTAAGCTCCAAAAACCTATCGAAACATTCAAACAAACTTCATTACTAAAAAGCACATCAATTATTATAAAAAAAACCAAATAAAAACAATAAATACATATGTAAAATAAGAGACTTAATAACACTTTTGATGCACAATCACCTAGGTTAATTAGAGAAATGTTCTATAAATTCTTAAATAGTATTGACTAAGAAATTCTAGGCTAAGATGGAATGAGATTTGAAAAAAAATTTAAATCTTATTTAAACAATTAATGACTATTATTTAAAGAGTAAATATGATTTAACATGGCAGACATACTTTATATTTTAATATTAAATTAGAACATTATTGATAAAATGATATTAATTACATTGAGAAATCGGTTACTGAAGGGTTAAGTTAAACCACTAATGACTTCTCAAATATTTAAAGGATCATGACACATTACTAGACAATGCATCTAATCTTCAAATATAAATGAATTAATTATGGAATTGATAATAAATTAAATTAAATTATTTATTAAATCCTATTTAATTAGAAATATAATTTATATTTGGGTCAATATATTAGGTACTTAATGAGTCAAATACATTAACAACCATTAGTCAGATATCAAATTGAGATGATTTAATTAAATATGATATGATTAAAATATATTTTAAAAATTAAAACTAGAATATAATTAATACAAGAAATATATTTCTAGACCTAGAAAAATCAAGTAAGGACATGATTGAGTTAAGAATAACCACATAAATCACAAAATAGAAAGCTAACATTCTAGGTATACAATAAATTTCTCCTAAATAGAAATTTAAAAGATTTTTCATGAATAATTCATGTAAATTATCATTAAAGATCATATTATAACTATTCCCTTTATTATCATTTCTTTAGCTTACTTAAACATAAAACCCCCATCTCATGACAAAAAATCAAGTCTTCTACAAGCTCAACCAATTTGGCCAAATTCTTCCTACTAATAACAATGAGTTTATCCTCTCTTCTTTTCCATTCATAATTGCCTTTATTTTCAAAATTTTACAATAATCATAACAATTTAATCACATTCTCATTAATTTTTCCCATTTAAGCAAAAAAATTCAATAATTGCAAAGAAATGAATTTTTCACGTAATTTCTTCTACCCTCAGTTATATTCTAATTTTGCAGGGCATGGGGATATTAATATTAGTCTGGGTTGAGAAAACCTTCAAATTTGAAAAATCGAAGATGCTTTTATATATATATATATATATATATATATATATAATATTACTTACTGTACACAATTCGAGGCCAATTCCAAGGTTTGAGTCTCGGGCTGAATTTGAGTGAATTCAACTCACTGCATACCATGGGCTATGACCATGTTAGAGCCCATCACAAAAAAATATACCTGACCTCAGCATCTTGCGCGTAGCTGGAGTATGAACCGAGCCACTTCCTGAATAAGGCATGCATACAGGGAACCGAGAGTCGGTAAGGATCAACTTGGGATTGAAATAAGGACCCAGGAGATGCCATGCCAAGGAAGTTAAATTTTCACTGGCTGAGGTTGCTTGTGGCTCGCTAACCATGCAAGTAGCCACCGACTTTGTTAGTCCACGTCACACGTCTTTTGATCACGACATGAGGGGTAGAGGTTTTTTTTTTTTTTTTTTTGTGGGTCCACTTTGAATATTTTTAAAGAAGCTAAAGGAGCGGCAAAAAAATTGTCTATGGATGTTTAACAATATAATTACGCATATCATGTCGATATTCCGGGGATTACAGGCTTGCTAGAATCTGTAGTTTATTTTCATAAAAAAAAAAATTTATATTTTTTACTTTAAATTAATTTTTATTTAGTTTTTTATATCTTTTTATATATTAGTATCAAAAATAATTTTTTTAAAATAAAAAATATTATTTTAATATATTTTAAAATAAAAAATACTTCACAAAACAATAATTATTATATGTAGGTGTTTTTTTTCTTTTCAAGGTAATAAATTAAGAATTATTATTATTATAGATTTAAGTCTTGATGTAAGGTAAAAACATTTTACTGTAGTTTTCTTTTTTTACGCAAGTAAATGCTTTTAATTGTCCATAACTTGCAAACACAAACATACTGGAAGAACCTCAAAATATGAGCATATATAACACTATTTATGAAATAGTTTTTTATTTTTTATTTTTATTTTTAATTCAATCATTCAATAAAAAATTTATAAAAAATTATATTTTATAATTTTTATAATTTATTTTTTTCTAAGGTTTTTTTAATTGATTATTTTTTTAATTTTATTTTTTAATTTTGGTTCATTTGAAATTAAAATTTAAGATTTTTTTTTATCTATTTTTCTATAAGGTTATCCACATTTCATGATTTGGGCTATAGATTTGTGAGTAAATCCTAGTTGACTTAAATTTATTTTTGTATTTTTTTTAATTTTATTTTTCAACACTCCATTGATTGATAATTGAGTTTTATAATTTATTTCAATTTAGTTTTTACAAGGTTATCATAATCTCATGACCTAGATTACAGATTTGATATGTTAATTCAATTATATCCTTCATCATTGCATTTATTAAAAATTAATTTTAATTTTTTATTAGATTATTATAATCTCTAACTTGATATGCAAATTGATAAATTAACTAAAATTGACTCCAATCCATCTAGTATATTATTGTTTCAATATTTAGTAAAAAATCTTATCATAATTATTTATTTTAAGCCATGTTATATTTTTATTAATTATCTATATTATTTTTTGATTTATAAAATTACCGAATTACTTTAAATCAATTTTTATATTATTTAAAAAATTTTACTAATAAAAATATTAGAAATATTTAGTTATTTTTCGATGTTAAAAAAACCTAATCCTACCGAATGACCTAGGATTTCTAAAAAAAGAGAGGAGTAACTTAATTTAATAAATCGGCTCGGAATTCAGGTGACGTCTCCTGGAACAATGAGCTCTTGAAGATGTCACTGTTATCATTGCATCATGAACTACCCGGAAAATAAATAATGAATTGCATGGTGAAAAGAAGGGAAAAAAAAATTAAAAAAAAGTCAGAGATGGTGTGACAAGGCAAGGGACCGTTGACCGAGCCCGCGTTATCAAGTAATGTAAAAGAGTCGCCGCAAAAGAAACGAAGGGCTCCAGTTGTTTCACCGCCTCAACCGCCATAGCTATCGTTTTTCTCCTTCTCTTTTGCTATCTTATTTCATCTCATCTCATTGCTGCAGAGGCCTTAAATAAACGAAGGGCTGATAGTTTGTTTCAACGGCCATCAATGAATTCACTTTTGATCCAACTCTTCCGTGCGTGTTTGTAACATTCATAGACTTGGTAAAACCAAGAAAGCCCGAAGGACAGTTTTACCCTCGTCCCTCCTGAAGCAGCAGCGTTCCCTTTTCTCAGCTCTTACCCGTCTCTTTCTCCACAAGGTGACATCTCTCAACTTTCCCTGTGTTTCTTTTTTGCCTTTTGCTTTTCCATTTGCATTGAAATGAATGGCCTAATAAAGTTAGCTTTCTCTCGTGATTTGATTTCACAATTGCTTTTCTTGGCTGGCTATGCTGCGGTATGCTCGGTGGGCAAGCAGTCATAACTAATATCTAGTTTACTTTAATGTCTAAAAGGCCCTTGAAAGAAAGCAAGCTCTTCTTTTGGGGATAAATTATTTGCAAAAACTCATTTACTGTTAGAACTTAAGCTGAGTCCAATCAGATTGAACAAAGTGGTGTGAGGTATATTATATATGTATGTTGATGCTAACAGAAGAACAGCCCACTTAAATTATTGAAGCCCGTGTGGCTGATATTCATAAAGTCACAATCCCCTCCCTTCTCTTTTGGGATTTCGAAAGTAGCTATAACATTGATAGAAAATAAATTTAGTTATTTTATTTTATTTTATTATTATTATGGTGCCATATGAAGATGCCGTAGCTGCGCTTCAACTTTGTATTTTTTCTTGTAAAAAAGTTCAAATCAAAGAAGTAACTTGTAAAAAGTTATTTATTTTGCAGCAAAACTACTGGTCTGCTTCTTTTTTCATGCTTAGACGGAACAATTGACTGGATTAATAATCGACTCTGCAAAAATTGTTTGGCCTCTGTGGACAATTCTGCCACGGTTCTATTTTTCTGTCAACCTTACTATTTGGACGGAATATAGAAAGCGGTGACCACTTGATGCTAATTTGGATGGTCCCCGGTGTGTTCTAAGAAATCATCTAAACTGCTGGCTGCTGGTCAGTCTTGAGATTAGCTTTGCCCTGTGACTAAAACGCATTATTTCTTATTCTTGTTAATGAACTCCTTTCATCCTCTCTCATTTTCATTTATCTGGAGTTGTTGCAATCATTACATCTATTTTTGGATTGAGTTGGATATGAAATGAAGAGTTCTATATAATTCACAGGTAGAAGGGTGGTGGTTGATTGACTTTTGCTGATTTAATTTATTGAATAGTGTTGTCAGAGTCTGAGTTATGGATCGTGGAACTAATGAGTCTGAACCCAATCTGAGTAAATCATTTCGTCAGACTAGCAGCGTAGGCTCTTCATTGAGAAGACATTCTTTAAGTTTATCACGCAACAGATCCTTCCAGGTAGATGATATTGAGAGTGAAAACGTGTCAGAGGCAGGTGATATTGGTGACAGGGCTCTTCATAGCAAGAGGCATAATGAAAGTGGTAGCATCAGCTTATCCATTGACAACGAGTTAGAAAATGGTATGGTGTTTCCCCTTTCAAATGATAACTTCCTCCGATCATATGGATTGTGGGTTCATGATTCCACAGCTTTGAATACAAGATCTCCAGTGTTACCTTCGCCAGAAGAAATCGTGTCTCCTATCTCAACTGATGCAGTGATCTGCTCCAGGGAAAAACAAGAAGTGAGAATTCAGTTGATCATTATTATCTATTTCATTATCGCTGATAGTATTTGTTTGGTTTATTACCTCATGGATAGGTGTTTGTGTCTTTAATGGCTGTTTGTCATATGATATAATATCAAACTGCAGCTACTTGTCTAAGGCTGTTAATATGATAATTCATTTGTTTCTTGCTGCTATATCCAGGACAATGAGAAAGCGTTTGTGTTGCCACCAGCACTCGAGTATATCTCATGTCTTCTGTATCTAGCAATTTTTGGAATTCTTGGGGTAATATGCACAACCTTTTCTTTTTACTTCTAAATATTTAAAATGGCATTAGTAAATGGTAACCTAACTTCAACAGCTTTTTATTTTCTTCTGTTAAGTTGGATTCTGGTGCTTCTTTTCCTTTAATCTTATTTGTCAGATTTGTTCGCTTTTTTGAAGTGGTTTTGTTATGGATGCTTAATTCTGCATTACATGCTAGCATTCTGATGCTGTAGACACCCACCCCATAAAATTTTAAAAGGCAAATAATATTTTTATGGAAGCTAATGAAATGAATTTAATAAATCTATTATTACCATCACTTATAGTTTTCAAGTGCTTAACATGACCACTTGAAGAGAATAGAATTTGAAATTGAAACCACTTAGCCTCATGGAAACATTTGTACAGTAATCTAGATCAAGAAATATGCTCTTCGCTTGACATAAGCCGTGTTGGAAACTGGTGCTCTTTAGTTACCACAACTAGGAGTGGGTGTCTTTCTAGGAGGATGTTTAATCCTATGAAGTGTTGTCAAAATCTTGCTTTGGAAAATAATAAATCCAAACACTGACACAAGATACTAGCTGGATGAGATTCTTGATGCGTCTAAGTACATAGCTCTTGATTGCAAAAAAAATGAAAGAAAGAAAAAGGAACATGACCAAATGATTTGTAAATTACTAGTGAGAAAACTTTACGATACCTTATTATGCTTTTGCTAATTTTCATCTGCTCGAAACAATAAATTAAGTTCAGATGAAGACTATTTGAGGCGAGTGATTTGTACATCTTCTAGACATTATTGCTAATCTAACAGCAAAGCGTAATCTATTCTTTAAAAAAAGCATTTAGTAGTCCTGTTTTTCCATTGGTTACTAATACAATTGAAAGCAAGGATCATAGTTCTCTGCTAACATTAAAGGAATTTTAAAATAGAGTCAACGCTCTACTCTATTAGCGAAGGTTACAGAGGTGTAATTTGATTTTGGTTGTTCCATAAATAAATAATGTATTTCTATTTTCAACTTTTAATACACAATGCAATCATCCTGAAATGGGTTTGTTAAAGAAACGTTGCATCAGCAGCATAATCTATACAGCAATGTTGCATTACGTTTTTGTTTTAAATTGATGATTATGTTGATTTGTTTTTTATTTGCTCTGATTTTTTGGTGATTGATGTGTGCATTTAACATTGTGCTTGATAGGAGTGCAAAACCAAAGAAAACATTTAGACATAGTAGGGAGAGGGGGCATTTTCGGGCATGCCGGTTAATATGAAAAACTACTAATGTTTGGCACGACATGATTTGCAGGTCTTAACAAGATATTTACTACAGAAACTCTTTGGCCCTAGTGTTGCTGGTGTGACAAGTGACAACTATCCGTTATATCTTGACTTACCTTCCAATATGGTCTCTCTCTCCCCCTCTCTCACTTACAGATACTCATAAATACATAATGATATTGCATCTCTATTATTTTTATGTTTAAAGTAGTGTTCATTCCTAATCCTAAGCCATCTAGCTTATTTTGCAGTAAGGTGTATGTTTGTTTCATTAAAATTTATGAGGTTTTAATGTAGCTGGATGAAGTAACATGAATATATCTTGTCAACTTTGTTATGATATGCTATTCATTAGACATTACTTATCATGGAACTTGATTAGGATATTGTTATTCTAAATATGACTCTCATGATGTTCCTATATTACAAGATTAATTGAACCAAAAAGATTCTCAATATTGATTAGAAAAGTAGAATTGTTTATGAAGTTATTAGTTTTTGGTAGAACCTTGGGGTTTTTTTTGGTGAAACTCCACTGTGTTAGAATGATCCAGAATTAGAGGTTCTGCTTCTGGTAATTGGTACTCTTTTTGTCTCCTTCCTTTCAATAAACTGAAAATATAGTGCAAGAGTACCACAACTTGTCTCTGTCACCTTCAAGATGCAGATTATAATGTTTTGACAACACTTGGACTCTATGCTTTCAACTTTGGAATACAAATAAAGCTCATTAACTTATTTGTAATATGTGCTCTTCTAGGTCGGTTCGTTCTTGATGGGATGGTGGGGTGTTGTTTTCAAAGAAGACATATCCAAAGTGTCTAGTTATTTGGCCATTGGATTAACTACTGGTTACTTGGGAAGTCTCACAACTTTCAGTGGTTGGAATCAGAAAATGCTTGATCTTAGTGTTAATGGCCATTGGGTGTTTTCTTTTGTTGGCTTTCTCATAGGTAAGTGGCACTTTCAAATTATTATAATATGTAGTTGTAGCTTAAGTGGGACATGGAAACTTAACTATTGCTCTTGGGCATGTGCCTGTTCAAAATTTTAATGAGAGACGAGCCTTGACAATGCCAGACCATTAAAACATAAACAAGTAACTTCTCATTGTGTGTATCTTTCAGGGTTATTCCTTGCAGCCTACTCCATAAAATTGGGTGTTAGTACGGCAAAATGTTTCAAGTCATTTTTTCAAATGTCAAACAGATCCGCACATTTAGCCTGCTGCAGGGTGGACAACCCCTATCATCATTTCGTAGTTATGGTGGTATTGGTGGTAATGCTGGGCCTTTTATGGGCTCTGAGTGGAGCGCTACTAAAAGAGGAGTATAACCACGACAGTAGTGGGGCTCAGCTATGGCTGGGTTGCATAGTTGCACCCCTAGGGGTGTGGATCAGGTGGTTCTTAGCAAGGCTCAATGGGCGTGGGTTAGGTAAGGCTGGTTCTCTGAAATGGATTCCATTTGGAACTCTTATTGCAAATGTTTCTGCAGCATGTATCATGGCAGCATTATCTACTGTGAAGAAAGCGGTATGGTTTCATCTCTCTCCCAATCGAACTCTTTCTCCTCCTGTCTGCATGTGTTATACCTCTCAAGTCAAATTTGTTGATTATAGATTTGCTTATTCTATTTGTGTGTTAGTTAGGTTAATTCTAAATCAAATATTATTTATTGTGTTCTAAATTCTTGCTTTTCCCTCATTGTTTTAACCCCCGCGGTGCTACCATCTTTATTTAGCTTGAGTGAGTTTTAGGAAGAATACTTCACTATAAATTTTGATGATATGAGATCTGGTTGATGCAGGTGCATACCCAAAACTGTGATACCATTTCAACTGGCATACAGTTTGGATTCTTGGGTTGTCTGAGTACTGTTTCCACTTTCATTGCTGAGTACAATGCAATGGAAGAAAGCCAGAAAAGCTGGAGAGCTTATTTATATGCTCTAATAACGATAGGTGTCTCATTTGGCTTGGGGACCTTGATATACTCTGTACCTGTTTGGAGTAGGGGATACTAGTACCATGTCAACATATTCATAAATCTCTCTTTTTGTTTCTGGCTGACCGCATGTCAACTAGGCACAAGAGAAATGCCTTTCCATAAACATGCTAAAAAGCTTGCTGGTCAGCGAAGCTCTACATAGTATTGAATACATGATTATATTTTGGAAATGTTATATTTCCTGTAATTTCTTGATCAATATGCGCTTTTTTTTTTAAGAAATACAAAGTTGATATGGGATAAAAGAGATTTGAAATTGAAATAATAAGCTGAGAGGAGAGAAAAGAAAAGGTCAAGGAAAAAAAGAAGTTGAAGAAAAGAAGAAGCTCAGGAAGAGAAGAAGGGGATTGAAAAAGTCTAAAACTTTGTAATGTTTATTTAATTCATAAAAAAGAAGCGATGGTATTAGAATCTTATGTGGTATATTGTAAGTATCTTAGTTATATAAGTAAAAAGCAATAAAATTTTAAAAATAAATAATTTATATTTGATAATAATAAAAATCTCATTACCTTAAAATATTTCAATAAGTATATGTATTTTCTTATTTTAATTTAAACACACGTGTGTGCACACATGCATGTACATATAATATCAGTATGTATGCTAAAACTTTGAATTCTTTCAATATATATTTAATATTCATGCTAGTATTATATTTGTATTAAAAATAAGTTTCTTGTTGTAACTAGCTAAGTTACTATGACAACTAATTAGTATTGATTTTAGTTAGTTAACTTGTGTTAAAAGAAAATAATTAAAAATAGATTAAAAAGTAATTAAGATGAACAAATATCAGGTCAAGTTGTGTTGGGTAATGTTATAAAGATTAATGTTGAGAAAAAATATAAAGGAAACAAGAAAAGGAGTGATAAGTTTCAACAATCTTTTTTATTTTCCATGTTCATGCTATTCTGTAGAAAATTACAGACTTGAATTTTTTTTTTAAGATGCATTTTTATGTTTTTTTGACCACACACAAGTTAATAACTTAGCCAAGCGTCAAGGTATCAGAGTAAAGTTTGAAGGAAGACGAGTTTGAAGGTGAAGTCAGCTAAAAAAAAAAGTTGATTTAAAAGAGATGGCTAAGGTAAACAACTTAAAGTTGGGTCGAGCCTCCTATGTTTACAAGATTAAATTATGAATTTTGAAGCATAAAGATGAAGATTTTGCTCACTTCACTTGATTTGTGGGAGATGATAAAGACTGTATTTGAGAAATTTTATTCAATAGATAACATAGTCATAACACAAGTTATAGATTTGAAGGATTCAAGGAGTAAAAATATTGAAATTCTTGGATTAATTCAAAGAGTACTTCTTGGTTCAGGTGTGTTTGCTTGGTGTTTAAAGAAGCAATAAGCAGAGTCTCAATCGTATATGCTTAAGCTGAATATGTTGCAATTGGTTTAACTATTTAGCAAGCTATTTGGTTTAGAAGAATTATGAATTATGCAAAAGAAAAACAAGAAGAGCCAACAACATTGTTTTGTGACAATAAATAAGCCATAACAACGGCGATTTTATCTCTTATTCATGTATTTTGACATTGTTTTGACCACACATAAGCTAATAACTTAGCCAGCAGCTATTTGCTACAAGAAGATGGGAAAAACTGAACCAAAAGCTAGATCTCTGTCCAGTGACTCAAGGCCTGTCAACATGCTAAAACGATGTTTTTGTAAGAAATAGTTCATGATTGCTTCTCTCATAAATCATTACCATTAAATTTACTGCTCAAGGTCCTTCAAGGGTTTATCCTCCTTCCAACAACGAGTTTGTAATGAGGCCTTGCAGCGAGGTCAGGTGGAGGCTCCAAGAACACAGGCGATGACATTCTTGTCTAGTCTTTGGTCACTGTGCTTTTGTGGGGCACACTTTCATGGTTCCTGTTGCTCAAACTCAGTTGGAAGACAAGGATTTGGTAGCCGATGGTAATTAGCAAGATTACTTTGATTAAGAGCAGTTAATTTGGTGAGAGAGACCTCAATCTGGTCTCCAATGCAGATGGCTAGGGCATTATGTATTGACTTGATACCATACTATCGTCCATCTCTACAGGATTGGAGGCCCTGAACTGAACATCATTGGAAACAAGAATTGTTATGGAGGAGATATTAGTGCAAGCTACCACCCAGAGAGCTAGATCAAGACATAAGTAGGTGGATAGTAATTTATTTTGACAAGGTATGTTTCTCATTTTCGCCCACAGCTTCATCGAGTTCATGCTCTTCAAGGTTCAAGCCCTACCGCTAACAACAGGCTCTTGAAGAGTTTGAATCTGTTTGGTTATGTAGTAACGTCCATGTTTCGTGTGTTTCTAATTTATAAGCTGTTTGGTTAACAACTGACCATAATTTTAATCATCTAGGTTCCAAATAAATATGCGTTCCAAATACAGGAGAAGCAAAAGCAACGCTACTTTGCTTTTGCCGTGATTACTGTTCAGAAAACGCTGCAAACAATAATGTTCATTACCAAAAAAATTAATTAGCCCAATCTGTCCTCCTCCACTAGTGTCTCCTCCTTCATTATGGCTTTCATTGTCTCTCCTCCTCCACTAATTCTCCTCCTAAACAAAGCTGCCATCATCTCTCCTCCTCCACAACTTCCCTCGTCTCTTCACTTTTTCCTCCTCCCCGCAGCTTCCTTGTCTCAACCTCACACGGACCTCAAACCGTTTCCTTCCTGCTGTTTTTCCTCTCTAGGATCTTCCTATGCTCTCTCTACTATGCTTCCCTTTATCATGCCAAGCTCACACTAACCTCACACACTTACCTTGATTGGCCAATTCCCTGTTTGTGCCCCTACTCTTCATTTTCTTTCATAGATCGCACCTAGTCACTAGTGTTTGTAGCAGATTGTAGATCAAGCCCATTTGCCACCGATCTGTTGCCTTTATAAACTTCTTTCATGGTTGAAGAAGACATGCACTCTCTAAGGTAAATTTCTTGTCATTATACTTAAAAAATCGCATGTATCATGCCTAATTTGCTGCCATAAACATACCAGATGCCTTTTTCTGTGTATAATTTTGCTATATCTGTTTTGTTTGCCAGAACTAAAGAGGGCACCGAAATCAGTCTTATGGAAAGCTCAAGTACAACACTTACTAATCTCTATTTCGGTTGCATAAGTAACATTAAGATCAATTGCTATTTGTTTTTGGAAGTGCATGTTTTTAGTTTTATAATTGATTTATTATCTCTGTTTCGGTTGAATAATTAACAACAATGTCAGTTGTTGTGTGTTTTTTGAATTTATATATGTCTAACTGTTAGATTTTATTATCTCTGTTTCGGTTGAACAATTAACATCAATGTCATTTGTTGTGTGTTTTTTGAATTTAAATGTGTGTAATTGTATGATTTTTTTATTATCTCCGTTTTGGTTGAATAATTAACATCAATGTCATTTGCTGTGCATTTTTTTGAATTTACATGTGTGTAATTATTAGATTTATTATTTCTGTTTTATGGGTATAAATATAAAACTTGTGTGAATATCCAGTTACTGAACATGGCCTTGAAAATGTTTATTTGCTCTATATCACATCTGTTTAGGTAATTAAACACATGAGAAAATTATATCTAAGAAATCTTAAGAGCTAATATTATATGAAATAATTGATGGATTCTGCTTAGGAAATGAAAACATTGGCTTCTAGGAACATAAATGTAAATATACCTAGCAATTAAAGTGGTTTCACTTTCTAACCCTAGAAAAACAAAAAATTATTTGGTTCACTCTCAAACATAATTGAGTAGTTTATAGTGAGTTATTGATCATTTTACATTCAAACAATAAATATATTGAAAAGAACTTTTACATATATAAAATGAAAGTATTTCTAATATTCTGAAAGAAAAATGCACAACAAAACTAGAAGGCTTAATATAGATGGTGGGTTACATGTTTTCAATTTGTAGATAGTTTAGGAAAAAAATTACAGCCATGTGATGTTGGATCTATCAACAGCTCAGTAATAAATTAACTTTAATTATATTTTTTATTATGCACCAGACACTTTGGTTAGCTGATTATATTAAGTCTATATTCTTAGATTGCATACTTTCTTTAAGTTCGCCATTAATTAAGATAGATTGTGCATTCCATATTCGTCACATTGCCTCTAGGAAATTGACCAATTAATTGTATATTAGACAAAATATTTTAACCGAGAAATGGATGATTCTCAATCACATGATAGGGTTTGTTGGACTAAAGAGATGTTGCACGCTTTTTGTGACATGTATTAAAGCAATTGAGCAAGGTATGCGACCGAACACATATTTTTGGTTGGAAATATATTATGAATTGCTTTAAGGATCAAACTAGCTATGTATTAATGAAAGCACAATTAAAGAATAAGTGGGACAGAATTAAAAAAGATTGGAGAATATGAAAAAGGTTGATTTCTGAAATAGGAGTAGGCTGGAGTGCTGAACTTAGAACAATTTTGGCACCTGATGAGTGGTGGATAGCTAAAATCAAGGTTTGGTTTTTTCAGTATATGTACAGCTTTAACAAACTGTTTAATTATATGTTGTTACAATATTTTTTATGTATTTTTAACTTGATTGTCCCTTATTGTAAAAGATACCCAGAGCTAGAAAGTTTAGGCATGTTGGCATTAATCCAGCATTGTGTTGTAAATATGATATCATGTTTATAAACATTGTTGCTACCAGTCATTATGCTTGGGCTCCATCACAGGGTTTGGATTCTGATGAAGATGGTGTCGGTAAAAGGCGAGCTAACACAATAAATGAGGACCCTCATCTAGAGAAAGGTAACGGAGATTCTAACGAGGATAATCTACTAAATTTTTCAAACGATGTTAATAATATGGTTTCTGGTGTCACTTTTGATAGCAGCACAAGCAATCCAACTGGTAGTAATTGGAAAAGAAAATGTGTGCAACAATATACACAAAAAATGAGAAAAAAAGAGGTGCTAGAAGGGGAGCGCAATTATTTTCGTGTTTAAATAAATTAGTTGATAGTGTATCTACCAAGAGTGAATGCACGTCAAGTGGTTTGGATAAAATAGGATGTAGCATACAAGAGGCCATGAACGAGTTTCACTCCATTGAGGAAGTGGTTTTTGGTAGTGAGCTTTATTATTTTGCAACTAAGTTTTTTTATGGTTAGAAGTAGGAGGAAAATGTAGGCAGGAATTGGTGATATGGACCGAAAAT